GTTGTTACTGATGTAGGTTTTCAAATTCTATTATGCCATTCCAGTGTATAAAACCCAAATTTCAACATTCTTGGTGACCAAATATTGGCAGTACTGTCTGTATGCAGATGCTGGGAGGAGATCTGGAATAGATTATCAACTAACTTTTAGAAATAAACAGAGCATGCACCATTAATATTTCATACAAAAGTGAAGGGTTTATATTTGCATCTTCAACAGCTGAAGAACTTCTACCACCTTGCCTTCTATATCTAGAGAATGTCCTGCTCTTTCTGTTCTTTAGGACTACTAATTGATCCACACATGCTGAAACACTCTTAAATTGTATTGTATTTTCTTCCAGCTGAACAGTGATAACAGCAAGCCCTTTCTTTTAAAATGCAGCAATATTTCTTTCTTTGTGCAGAGATAACAGCAACATCCTCCTTGCTTGTGAAGAGGAGGGGAGATAGTAAGTCTGAGTTCATTGCACGCCATTTGTGTGCAACTACTTTATTACCAAATTAGCAAATTGAGACCAGCATCTTTTTGGTCTCCCAGAACTGTGGGTCATTAGGGTGGTGCTCTCAAAGTAGTGGATTTCAGGGAATTTAATTTAAAAGAACTCTGATTTCTAAGAGCCGTTTCAAGCTGTTGACAGGCTTTGCTATGTGTGCTTCAATCACGTTTTAAGTTGATCTTTCTTCATTAAAAATATTCCAGTGAAGAATGTTTCTTTAAAGACATTCAGCCCTAGACTTGTGCTCTTTTGTTTGTGCTTCAGGCTATTAAAATTTACCTATTGCTACCTCACTCAATGTAATACAGTTGTTTTTACTAGGAAATATATGTTCCGAGACTAGCTGGGAAGTTCAACTGCTTCAACTAACCTAGTCTTGCACTCTTGATTCATACATACCCTCTAGATTAGTACTTGCATCAGCTGAAACTAATATTTTGTGGACCTTTGCATACTGTTTGCAAATGACTAATTGGTATGTGATGCAATGCAAAGTGAAGTTTTGAGGCATATTTTAAGCTTCAGTGAAGCTGAAACAAAGATGGATGTTTACTGCAAGTTTTTCTGTATTTGGAGTTGACTGCTGTCCTTTGATTCCACGTATTATGATTTGATTCCACGTTAGTGAGGTGTTGGATGGGAGTGGTAAAAAGCAGTCCTGATGTCCCCAAAAAATAACTGGATTTATTGTTGGCTATATAATGGTAACTATGCTTCTTTGTCAAGTTTGATGGGTTTTGTGCTGTTTAATATAGCTTCATCAACTCAGCACATTTTTTACCTTGTTTGCCTCTTGCAATATGAATTTGATGGAACTCTGTGCAAGTTATTGTTGTGTAATTTGTGATGTGCTACTTGCTGAACAATAAGAAATGAGGGAATTTTAAAGGATTAAGATGAAGTGCTTAAGAAATACAACAAATACAGAAAAATGTTTTTCATCATTATTACAGTAACCTTAAGCTTAAAGAATATATAAGCCCCTTACTGTACAATTACAATATTCAGAATATAAGATGTTGATTAAGTTTAAACTAAATTCGAGTTGCATTTTTAAGTGTTTCAAATTCTTATGTTTATTCTGTATTCTTAAAAATGCTTTCTGAAAAGTGTATGAAGTTAATGACATACACTTAATGATTTGTTGAACTAAGGCATAAACTTGAAGCACACAAAACCCTGTATATGTCTTTGTACAAATTCTTACCTTTTGGTAGATGTTTTAGTTACAGAATAGTAAAAAAGATTAGAACTCTGGAGAGTCAGACTGGGTACTTCTCCCTATTAAATCTGCCTTTCTTTCCCAGACTGTTATCTAGCCCAGCGAAATTGCATTTTGGAAGTGATGGACAAGTGGAAAAATCAGGTCTTTGTACTCTTGAAGTGAATACCAAGTTTAAAGTAAAACTATTCATGTACAGAGCTATTAAGTCAGAAGAACTAAGTTTCAGTAAATGGATATTTTTTTCCAAAAAGACTAGATGTGTTCACCTGACCAACTGCTGTATCACAAAGAGATACTTAGGTTGCGTCTCAGTGATGAAAAGCTGCTGGTTTATATGAGTAAAAACAGTATCTGATGAATGTGGCATAAATTATGACTGAATTTTGTGAATGAAAGCCTCTATGAAAGGAGGTTTCTGAGAACATAATATTTTCTTTCTGTCTAAAGCTGGGATTTTGAGTCAGGAGAAAAATATATCTGTAAGGGTCAAATTTGAACTGTAAGATTTAAACATGCTTGTGTTAAGAAGAAAAGTGGAATTGCATAATGTAAACTTTTTAATCAGAAAAGCGGCTGTAAATCTGTTATCTGATAAATGATTCCCATTATTTATATATATAGCAACTTTTCTTCTGTGACAATGTTTATTTTTCTTTTTGCTGATATTTGTGCTATGTTTAGCTCAAATTTATATGAATTCACCTGTGCTGTTGTAGTAGAATTATTAGCTGAAATCCTAATATATCACAGTTTTATGTTCTATGTTCTGTTTTGTGTTATTTCAACGTGTTTTATATAATCCAATAGACTTTCACATGGAAGTGAGGGCATAATTTGCTTGCAGAGTCTATAGCACTTATGATAAATTGACCAGAAAGCACAAAGCTTTTACCTGAAATTCTAAGCTGATGTGAAGCTGTAACTTAAGTATAAACTGAGGAAGTTGGACCTGAAACCCTTGATTCCATTAAATATGGATATATTGAATATATCAAAAATATCTATTTATTTTCTTTTAGTTGAGCCAAATATTCGGTTTACTTGTGCTTCCAAGTCTAATAGGTGGAGATGAACATGCTGAACCAGATACAGTAATGTTCTTCAATACTGTAGATTTCTAGCAACTTAAGTGGTGTGGGTATATTTTGACAAATATGGAGTTAGACATTGACTTTCAACAGGGAAATGGCTTTATTTTGTAAGCAAATGGCAAATTTGAAATTTGCCAAAGATCTGTAATAGTATTTTATATTTCAGTTTTAATTACAAGTATACTGAAGTTTAGTTTATATTATCTGGCATTCCTTTTTACTTTTATTATTTTGCCTTACTCTGTGTCTAAACTGGTTAAGTGGTGAGACTCATCCTGTAATTGGCATTTATAAACTGACCTCTCAGAGATGATGACCTTTACAAGTTTTGTTAATTGACTGTAGCAGCTATGACAGCTAATCAAAATGGAGACTGAATTCTGTTCAAAGAGGGAGGTAACTTTGACAGAAAATGTTACATTCAGGATTTAAAAGTTAATGCAAGTTAATGTGTAACTTTCTAGAAGAGATAAAAAAAAGATTAAAAAAAATTACTAAATTAGTATTCTCGAAAGCCTTTACACTTTGGAAATGAATACTTCATAAATATTTTTTTATGTGAGAATACTAATTTTTCAGGTATTCTATGTGTCCTAAAAGCTTTCAAGAAAGAGGAAGGGGACACTAATTTTACTAGTCTTACAGTAGTAAGTAGTCTTTTACTATTGTTAAAAAATAAAGCTAATTCCAGATTGCTATTTTCAGGTGAAACAATCTTTGATCAAATCTCAGTTTGCATGTACATACAAGAATGAAGTGAGTGAAATAATGGGTCAGCATTTCCTCAGCAGTGGCCAGGTTCCAACCTGCATAGATCCTGCACACAAGCAACATTTAAAAGCTGGATATCTCGCAGGTAAGCTGTAGTAGGATTGACTGAGCAAACGTGATAACTAATATTTGAAATGTTATCAAATAAGCTTTAGTAAATCTGAAGTATAAATGTTTTCAAGAAAAAAACAGACATGTCTCATTGCTCTGTGTATGCTATGATCAGTTAAATGTCTTTACATTAGAGTTATAATGCTAATGCTTTGAAAATATAAATCTGTATGAAAAGTATGTATTGATACTTTCTTGAGGTAAAAAAATGGGTGCATATTACATATGTAATGTTTTTTCTTATTTTACTACAGTAAGCTAAGCGAAATGTGTACTTTTGCCATTAGAAAATTTGGTTTACTCCACTATATACTGTATCATATATACAATTTCCAGGACCTTGAAGCAATATTTCCAATATCTTAAAGTTCTAAATCTACTTCCATAAGTTAGTTTCCATCACATGTTTTTGAGCAATGTCATTCTAAATTGTCAGCACACCTAGGAACCCAGCAAATGTAACTGCAATGACCTGCATAGTTTTGTTTTACTGATAAAGCACTAGCTTTGATTTAAAAAAAAAAATCACATGGCAGCCCTTTGATAGAAAAAAGATGAATAATCCCAGGTAACTTTTCATTTCTTCACATATGTTTTTGATACTCTTGCATGACAGAAGGTATGAATTCATGTCTTGATGTACCAGTGCCTGGAACTATTTCTGAAAATGTTCACCAGACTAGAAGTTGTACAGAAATGGGAAAGCTGAGTTGTCAGCCAAGAAACAAGAACTCCAGGAATGAACAGATGGATTTGAATAATGACAAAGTAATCTGTGATAAGGGAAGTGAACCATCTTTGATAAAAATTGCTAAGAGACCAAAGACTTCAAACAACTCTCAGGAGGAATTGGACAGCAAAATCGGTGGAAAAAGAATGCGCAGCGCAACTGCAAGAAAGATTAAGTTGATTGCTGGTCAGGCAAAATTAACTCACTTTTTTCGACTGTAAGTTTTTGTTTTGAAATATGTGCTACATTGCCTGGTTCAGAAGCTGTAAAATTTTGCAAGAAAAGGGTGAAATGAATGAATTGCTTCCTTTCATACTCAAATAAGTGGAACTTGTGTGTAATAATAGACAAATACTTATGAGTCTAGATTATGCAGAAGTTTTATTTTTTTAATAACAATACATCATAAGTAATTGCAGCTATGTTCCTTTTTCATAGTGAATTGCGTTTTCCTCTACAATGCAGTTGGAAAGTTTTTTTGGATGCGTATGTATAGCCACACTAACTTCAAGTTACATTCAACATTTTATTATGGATTTAATCTTCAAAGAAGGGGGTGTAGATCAGTAGTTTTCAGACTTGCCAACAAGGTCTGTAGACTCTTCCCAGCATACATCTGAGCACTAGGAGAAAAAAAAAACAACAAACAACCAAAAACCTGGATGTTTAAATCATCAAAGAACTAGAATTCTTTATGGCCTCTGGAAGTATTGATTTAACAAGTGCTTCTCCTCTGGGAACCACAATAGACATAGAGATTCTAAAAGAACTTTAATCAAATTGCTATGTAGATATTGTTTTATACTTTACCGGAATGAAATAATTTTTGTGTAAAAATGAAAATAGACTTACTGTCAAAATCTCTTCTTCCTATAGGGAATTTAGCTAAATTTTCTTCGTCAGGAGTCTCTCTTTCCTGTATTGATTCAATATTTTGAATTTCAGTGTCAGCTGGAAAAACCATGTCTCCCTTCAGTGCAAAATAAGGTAGTTGTTTTCTACGCAGGTTGATTGCCATAACATGATTTAAAAAATCACGTCTGGAACCTGTGTCCTGTTTTAAGACAAAACAAGAGTAGCAATTTCAAAAGTCAGTTGTATTCACTTTTTATACATGACTTTGTATGCTTTAGATTAGCAGTGCAAATATTTTATATTTCAAGATGATATTTTAAAAGTAATGACTTGCATTACATCTTTGGCTGAAATGGTTTTATGGTAAAGAATATGACAAAATAATGAGTCTTATATTAGGTGAAGGTAAAAACCTCTTGCTGCACAAGTTTTTGATCCATATAGCTCTGTAAAAAATGAATTTCATTTATTCAACACATTTAAAATCTTGGAATTAGATTCTTACAGTTGAAAATTTACTCTTGACTATAGTATGCTAAACTGATGTTTTGGCATTTTCGCTGGATTATTGCTTTAAATTATACTTTTTTTCTAAAGGGCTATAAAGAGAATTTTCACTTCACAATTAAGCCAAAATATAAAACTGAAAGCTCACCAAAAACTTCATGTTTCTGTCATCTTCTCCATCCAAAACGCTGCTGTCTTCAGTCATAAAATGCTTCAGCAAAGGTATAGCTCCTCTGTTTGCAGTTCTATCTCCATTTTGAAGAGTTTTTCCTAGATTTAATGTGGTTAGCAACATATCTTCATCTTCTATCTTTTGCAGAGATTTTGAAACTGAGAGTAGAAAACCTTGAGAAAAGAGAGAGAGAGAGAGAATTAACATGTATGAAGAGATACACATTCTTAGTTACTTGATGGTTGCATAGAAGTTAAGCAGTTTTCAAATTTTAAGAAAGCTTTTCTAGTTGTAGATTGATATGTTCATCTGTGCCCACTTTATATATTTTACTGATTGAATGGAAACTACTTCAATGGCTGAGGAGTTCACTCTTGTGAAATGACTCATATTAAGGAGTAACCTTTCCTATAATCCTTCTAATCCCATCTGTTGTTTAGAACCACTTAAACATTTCTTTAGTCTTTGCTAGTACCTAACACTCATGTGATGTGAAGGAGAGAGTTAAGATATTGAGCATGGGTAATTTGTTTCCTTTTATGTTTTTAGAGCAGCACAGATTAGTTCCTTTTGATGGATCAGTACAACGAAGTTCACAAAAGTGATGTCCGTGTTGTTTATAAAGCTTTAGCTCTAGTTAAGGCAATTTAAGAAAAGGAATTAATCTACATAAGTAAGAAGGACCGTATTGTAAAGGTGCGATCTCGTAGTTTTTGATCAAAACTGATTCACTAAGGAGTTGAAGAGCTTGAAATTTAACAATAGCTTAGTCTACTACTGTGTTAGAGCTGAAGTTATCAATTTGTATTTTGCTGTGCATTAGGTCAGGTTACATTATTCAGAGCTTATGTCTAGAAGCCTGTATTAAGACCTAAGTGATTATATGTCTGCATTTTCTTTCTGAAAATGGACCTTTCCCAGGTACAAATAACATAGATACGCTTGCTGAGAATGTAGAAAGAAAAGTAAACTTCAGATTTGCATAATTTTTTTTTTAACCTTTATCTGGAAATCAAATGAGGCAAGCTCAAATTCAGCTAATCACTTAATGTCAATGATACAAACCACGTATTCAGTAGCTGTATGTCTCTTAGCTGGTATTCATCTCCTAAGCCTATGTTTGTTCTTTAGATCAGTGCAGTGAACCAAAAAGCCTACTAGCCAAGGCAAGCCACTAGGAAATTGTTCAAGAAATTGACTGAGCAGAAATAGCACCAGTTCCCCTGTGTTTTCCTCCCTCTCTATTTTGTGTTTCCTGCTTTTTCTCTACTGTCATACATTAGGAACAAAATGTAAACTTTTCTTCACAACACCAATTTCTTACAGTGGTTGTGTTGTTTGTTGTTGTTTTAACTGGTGTTCTGATGGTCTCTGCTAGTACCTATCACTGATGTGATGTGAAGGAGTGAGATGTTTAATAGTCTAGACAAGCCTATAAAACATCAATGGCAGTCACAAACAGCAAGTATATATTTTGTCTTTCTACCTGTTACAAGAAATTCAAGGAGGAAATACGAGTACTGCTGAGAGGCATTGCATGGTCTTAGGGAGATATGTAAATAATAACAATTTCTGCTGAAAACAGGCAATGTTACTACACTAATCCACAGACTGAGGATGTTTCGTAGGAGAACTGACTGGTGTTGTTGGAACTGTAGTATTTTAAATGTCTATTCACTGCTAAACTTCCTGAAAAAGCAGACTGTCTTGCCAAAATAACTTCTTAGTAAAAAGTTTCATAGGAAAATGTCCTGCTGGACTAAACATATTTTTACTAAGAGACATTTTGAGTATGCCCGCTTTTCCTCAAATGAGGGAAGTGCATTTAATTCTTTCTGGGCAGAGCATCTCTGACAAATAGAATTTTTGCTTCTCATTTGTTTCATTTCCATGCTGTAGAGCTTGCACTTGCCTCTAGGCCATTAAAGTGGTTTCTTTGATTTTAATTGGCTGGCTACAGAGGAGACAGATTTGAAAGTAATTTGTATATCATTTTATACTTCTCATCCAACCTCCCTTTGCTAATTTCTATTCTTCCCTCACATTCAGTATTTTTAAGTTTTGTTCAATTACTAAACCAAAAGCCATGTATGCTCTGTAATGACGCTTTTAATTTAGCTCAGCCTAGGCAGAACAGGAGGAGTGCTTTGGAACTGCCGTTGACAGCAAACCTTTCTCTTTGTATGTTGGTATAGAATTGAGTGTTGGGGAACAAGCTATCCACCTAGTAATTGTGTATGTGACAAGAGGTTCCACTTATCTGAAGCTACAGTACCCTCAGGTATGCAGCATATGCCACACATGGCTTACTTTCAAATGCTTCTCTTTAATTTAATGCAAAGCATAGTTAAAATAAGAACAATGGACCTAAATCAATTAGAAAGTCCATGTACAGTGTCTATTTAGTCATCTGTGGTGTCTATAAGCTGATGTCTCTGGAAGAATATAATAAGATCAGGACAAACTTCTGGCAGTCCCCCCAGTATCTGCTAGTGCTTGTTGAACTGGCTGTTAATTTTTAAGGATTGCTAAAGATCTTTAGGTGGTCCTAGTGATAGTAGAACCTCTTCTGTTAAGAAATCAATAGCATGTGTGTATATATATATATAAAATCAGTGACTCTTCTGCCTATCCAAAGCAGTAGGTAACATTTGTACACCTGTAGATTTGCAATGTACTGTGTACATCAGATCATAATGCCTTTGGGAATCTAACACTGATATCTGCTTCTTTTTTTTTTCCCTTTTGATCTTGAAACTATCAATTTTATTAAAAATGTAAAATGTTTTATTATACCAGCTCCTATGTTTTATCATAGTTTATCAAATTGGCTTTATATTTTTATAGTAAATAACCTAATGCTGCTTACAGAGCAATAAAAATTATTTTGAGAAACTCATTTTGCTTCTACATTGTATCTCGTTACAATGAAATATGAACTTAACATCTGAAATCTGATGTATATGCGAATAAATAAAATCTAGGTGATAATGTACCTGGAGTTTCTCATACTCATTTTGAATTTTAGGAATCGGTTCTGAATCAAAATTGTAATATTTTTATTTGGTCTTGTAGCTACTGTAGTTGCCATGTATGAGTGTTTGAGCCTAATGCATGCTATTGGGTGAACAATAAAGAAAATAAGTGTATCTTATGCAAAAGCAAATATGTTTTTTAATATTGTCAGAAATTAAAACCTTTGGAATGCAAGAGAGAGTATTTAAGCAAGCTAAAGAAATAATTTTACTGAATTTTAACTTATTTTGGTTTTAGTTTGGATCTTTTTATTTTATGTAAACAATTTTATTTCAGTATTTCTAAGAGAAGTCCCTAGTGCACAAAATTATTCTGGATAAGCCACAGTCAATTTTTCTGAAACCAGCCAACAGGAGGAACTTCCTTAAAAGAATAATAAAGAGACTAAGAAAGACCAGGCGCCTTTTCTTTTCGGGCATGAGAGTATTTTAGACAAGAAAAAATACAGGAAAAAGCAGGAGGTCTAACTGTAATTTGGAACTTTGAGTATGTGATATCTGGGAGAGGTCTTAAACCTGTCTATCTGGTGCAATTCTGCTAGAATTGCTGCGATTTCTACTCTTCACCGTTACTGTTTATGCAGTGTTGATAGTGCTGAGGTGAGTCATTTGTTTTGCATAACTAACACTGAGGCAGGCCAATATCTTTAGAAGTATTGCCCCTTGAGGGTGCTCAACCAATGCTACTGAAACCATTAGTGGATCACACACTCTAAAGGGTAGTGAATACTGTTGCTGATATGCAGTGACTGGAAAACTGTTCATGGTTTGCATTTGTGAGGAGCAGCAGATCTTCTATTTGTGACTTTATACAAAAGTTTGGGTAAGGTAAAGGAATATTGTTACGCATTTTGTCACAGGTCTTATCCATAAATTCTACTGAAGTTGTATTTGGGTTCCACACATATGGAACAGGTTCTTTTAGTGAGTTGAATCCTCAGAGTCTGTTTGCATGATGAGATACTGCTCACATGGGGCTATAGGATGAATGGATCCAGCTCTACCACAATTCCTTTTTGCAGGCCAGGCACACAGTAATTCGTCACTTTGTAAAATTCCAAACTGACTGTTTGTTATCTGATTTGTTTTATCAGTAATGTTGTGGGGGTTTAGTTCTTTTCTACATTTCATTCTCTTTTTAAAAGAATTGCATTTTTATAAGTTGTTTCTGCTAATGTTTTGTTCTTATGACTGAGTGTAAGCCTGAAGTTCTAATAATCTTGTTTCCTGTGAAGAAATAATTTTGCTGTCCACAAAGCACTTCTACACTACCTTGGATGTGAGGTACATTCTTGAGATATGCTATTTTGTAAGTAGTTCTTGAGGTCAGAGGTGTTTGCAAAAAGCTGTGATGCTGAAAGAGAAGACAGAAATGCTCTAGTACACTTTTCATGTGGTAAGCTGAGTCACATATGTAAGGCTTGGGTCTAGTTTTGTCCTTCTGAGTCCTAGCACAAGGAACTGGTTGTCTTTCCATTCTGTTATTGTGAAGTGAAATTCAAAACCTATAAAGGACCTACAAAGGACCCAGCTGGTATACTCTCTTTTAATTGCCATACCAGTCCTTGATACTGACTGTTCTATCGTTTACTCCTACCCTTCATGTGGTATTAGCATTGTGGTGTACAAAACCTTAACAGTATTTGATTCCTTAATTAGAGCAGTAGATCAGTATTGCAATGCTTGTGATTGTTATCCAAGATCTAGGAGTGACATTATGATTTAGTGACTGTTGTGTCCTTGAAACACTTTTTCTTGATTATTATCTATGCCAGCAAACCCAGCCAAATTGAACCTGCTTCTGTTTTATCAATTACAGCTGGGTCTTTTCATCCCAAGCACGTGAACTTTGTATATGATTGAAACATCTGTCTCACAGACTCTGAGGAAGAGAAGTTGCAGGCTGTTAATCACACAGTTTCCACACTGTATTATCTTTGTTTGCGGATGAGACTATGCTACCATTGATACTAAAAAGTACAGCCAGATACTTATAAAAGTTTTCAAGAGTTACTGCACAGAATGGCAGTCACACTGGATATTTCAATGGAAGCTGTCCAGGAGAAATCACATAAGTTTCTGGACATATTATGCACCTCTATGCCAGCATGCCTTGTAATTCCCTTTAATGAGGGCCTGTTGGAGTCAGCCAAATTACTCTGACAGATGTCTACTTCTTTAGTGTTGACA